ACATACACTCACACTTATACCCACACCCACACAAACACCCACACCCAAGATGGTTCGATTTGGTTGTTATCAAGAAATGAAACCAGAGCACAGAGCTGGCGTCATACTAAAGCTGCAAAGAGCGTCGCGTTATCAGTGTGAGGTAGAATCAGGTGTCACTGAAATGATAAAAGCATTGAGAAGTCCTTCACACAAACACATTTGACAAACAAAGCAGAGAAATGGCTGTCGTAGCTGATATATCACACGATGCCAAAGAAATCTATGATTCGATAGCCGAACAGTATGTGGAAGTCAAAAAAGCACCACATCGTACTGCTGTTGAACAATACACACTCTTCGACGTAATGTTATTGAAGAACGAGCCTGAACTTGGGAAAGGTGCACGTATTCTGGACATGGCTTGTGGTAATGGACATTGTACCCGCAAACTACGTGAGTTATTTCCCGAAGCATCTTACATCTGTGGAGTAGACATTAGTTCGTCGATTATCGGTATCGCTAAACAATGCGAAAGTCAATTGCAACAGAATATCGATTATATTGATGGTGATGGAAAAGATTTGCCCATCAGTGAGCCTTTGTATGATATTGTGACTGCTGCGTATTATTTGAATTACGCTCAGACATGTGACGAACTCCGTATAATGATTAAAGGTATTTTCGATCAGCTCAAACCTGGTGGATCATTTTATGCGATGAATGAAAATCCATTTTCTACTATGGAAGGATTCAACAACCCGATGCACAAGAAATACATGTTCGTTCGAGAATATTTGGCCGACACTTTAATTGATGGGCAGCCAATCAAATATACGTTTTATTGGAATCCTGATGCGCCTTCCAGTTGTGTTTTTTATAACTATTATTTTTCTCCGTCGACTTATGAAACTTTATTCAAGAAATGTGGCTTTTCATCTCTTCAGTGGGTCCCTGTTCAATGTAATCCGAAGATCGAAAATTTTTCGTTCTTCGACGACTTTGTTCGCGAGTCTTCCATGATCGGTCTGATCGCCAAAAAATGAGTTTCTTTTCTCATTCCTATATCAACTTTTCTTCTTCGGCCAAAGATTTTTTCCCTTCTTATCATTTAGATCCTAGTGATCATTACACAGTCATCTACTATTCTTGTTACTATAGTATAGCTTTCATTACTATCGATTGGTCTTTCATTCTTTCTAATGATTTCAGATGATCTTCAACAAATAAATATTCTTACTACAAACTCTTTTACGAATCTTATTGAACATGATTCCGACAAGAATCGACTTTGTTCACTGAAGAGTAAAAACTTCATTGAACCTTCAACGATGTTATTCAATCTGGACTCGGGCGTGGGTGTGTTAAAATCAGAAACGGACATACACGCACACCTACATCCACACCCACACCCTCAAGAAAAGCAGGATATCAAAAATATACATTGTTTTACAGGCCTTACAAATATTTTTAAGTAGTACTGTAGTATTTGTGATAATCTTATAATGTTAAATATGTATCGCGGGAAGTTACGTTATATACAACAGATATTATATAAATATATAGATTATGCTTAGAAAACCGTAATACATAAGAAGTAATTCAAAAGTTTTAGCTTTATTGTAATAATGAATCTTTCGTTATAATCCATAAAGATCGGGTTGAGTTTACTTATTCTCATCATAATTGAAGCTCTACTCTTTTCCTAGAAACAACGATGGTGAAAATTTATCACACAAAGATAATGAATGTGCTTGACAAGCTAAAAATTCAATAGATGTAAATTAATCTTTCTATTGTAAATAATGGTCGTTTTGTTTTGATCAATTCTACTAAGCTAATTAAAATCTCATATCTTATTCAGCGTGAACTGTTGATATATTGATTAATTGAGAGTGTGGGTGTGAGTGTAGGTGTACCACACCCTGTCTTGGCGACAAAAAACAGATTTAATTTATACTGTACCAAGCTTTAAACATATATCATGTTCATTTGAATATAAGAAATCATCATCTGACCGACAACCATAATAAAAACTTCTAGATTCAATATCTTTTCTACAAACGAATTGTCTTTGATTATTATTAACGATAGATAAATCACGGTATACATACGAAAAGTGTCGTCGCTGAGCTCTTTCGAAAAAAAAACAATTAAATAATAGATGTCACCAATGATCAGTTCTTGAAACCGATGAATCTTTTTAATGAGTTCAAATCCGTTTGTGTTCTTAGTTACAATTTGAAGAAACGGAAATACAATAATTAATATTTAAGCATCTTTTTTCGTTTTTTCAAGACTTATAGGACTTAGATTATCTATTGAGATAAAATTGCTCTGTTTGGTGAGAATGATATCCAATCGCTCGTCTTGAGACTCGCTCAAACTCTTTCTGGTAGAAATAACGTCTTTACAACCATTGAACTAATTATTCAAACAATTTCAAAAATCTGACTTCAGATTCGTGTTCCTCGACCTCGATTACCCTTCAAGCAATCAGTGAAGTGATGACATACTAGCAAGCAAGCAAATAATTTATATTTGCAAGACTCTTCTTTAGGAGAGAGAGTATTAAACAGATTTGATTAATTTTTAAATTTTATTGTAGGACAAATACATTAATCAAGATATACATATGCTATGAGGATATAAGTGACAGATACTATTACAAAATCTGTAAGCTAAAATTTTCCATAAAAGATGAAGAGTTTTATCATTTCAATGAAAATAATTTCTTAAATATAAATTGATTGAAAATAAATGACACTGCTCATTAAATGAAAACGGTTCTTAAATGTCTTTCATGATTCTAGTGTGATTTTTTTCTTGTAGTTTTAATAAATTTACATCTCTATTTTCGTTTTTCTAGAATCATTCAATCTCTATCATTACTTTTCAGTTAAATTATCTTTGATCAATCGCAAGATAATATCCAATAGATTCAAGATTCAAATAAACGTTTCTTTTAAATAGAAATAATTTATAAAATAATGATTTTTATGTCAATAAAATTATTAAATCATCGTATATTATCTCTATTAGTTTTTAAACGTTCAGTGAATATTCAACCTAATGTTAATTTGAGTAAACAAATGAAATCATTTAATGATAATAAACAATTTAACAAGACAATTGAATTATTTGATAAACTTATAAAAAATGATACCAATATGTTGTCAAGTTTTAATATTACTCAAGTTTTAAAAGCATGTGCTCATCTCAAAGATATTCAACATGGCAAAATGATTCATCATCTCATATCTTCACGTATAAAAGATGATGATTATATATTAGCATCATTAATTCATCTATATAGTAAGTTCTAATAAATAAAACTTTTTTGTTAGTTTTTTTTCTAATAAAGTGCAATGTGGTGATACAATAAATGCTGAATTATTATTCGACACAGCAACAAAAAAGTCCTTGTCAATGTATGCAGCAATGATGAAAGGTAAAACTTTTCGTAGTTCGAATTATCGTAAATTAGTTCTTTTTTTTTTTAGGTTATATTAAAACTAATCAAGCAAATAAAGCAATCGATCTTTTCAATGAAATAAAAAATCCTGATGAAGTTATTATCATTCTTTTATTCAATGCTTGTGCTCAATTAGCAAATAAAGAAACATTACATTTAATCAAAGATGTTACTTCAAAAATTCCTAAATCATTTTATTTAAATTCTTATCTATTAACATCACAGATTGATGCATTGATGAAATGCCGTGATATACCAAATGCTGAAGCATTATTTGGTAAAACATTAAATAAAACATTATCAATGTATGGAGCAATGATGAAAGGTAAAGAATAAGTTTTTAACATATTCTTTCATAGATATCTATTCTTTGTCAGGTTATCTATTACATAATGAACCGAATAAGGCTGTTAACCTTTTTAATGAAATAAAAAATCCTGATGAAGTTATTATCATTCTTTTATTCAATGCTTGTGCTCAATTAGCAAATAAAGAAGCATTATATTTAATAGAAAAAGTTTCAAAACAAATTCCTGAATCTTTCAAATCGAATCCTCGTATTTTAACTTCTTTATTAGATGCATTTATAAAATGTAGCGATATGAAAAATGCTCAACTATTATTTGATAAAACATTAAATAAAACAGTACCAATGTATGGAGCAATGATGAAAGGTAAGAATAATTTATTATAATGAATTATTTAATTGAACGGTTTCTGTTTTTCTTAGGTTATATATCAAATAATATGATAAACGAAGCAATTGAATTATTCAATAAAATAAAAAATCCTGGTGAAATTGCTTTCACTCTTTTCTTTAATGCCTGTGCACAGTTAGCTACTAAAGAAGCATTAAAATCAACAGAAAAAGTTTCAAAACAAATTCCTGAATCTTTCAAATCAAGTCCTCGTCTGCTAACTTCTTTGTTAGATGCTTTAATGAAATGTGGTGATACAATAAATGCTCAATTATTATTTGATAAAACATTAAATAAAATAATACCAATGTATGGAGCTATGATGAAAGGTAAAGAATCATTTCTGAAAAAAATTCTTTCATATATTTCTTTTCTTTTTCAGGTTATTTAGATAACAACGAAGAAAATAAAGTAATCAATCTTTTCAATGAAATAAAACATCCCAATGAAATTATAATAATTTTGTTTCTTAATGCTTGTGCTCAATTAGGAAATGATGAAGGATTAAATTTAGTAAAAAATTTTTTACTAAAAAATGAAAAAATTTGTTATTCAATATCTGATATATCATTAAGTATAATAGATGCATTTATTTCATGTGGAGATGATTCAAGTGCTAAAACATATTTATCAAAAATAGAAGAAAAAATAGAAAATAGTATAACTGATTATGAAATAATAATGAATGGATATAATAAATTAAAAGATCCTTTTCAAACATTAGATTTATTTAATAAAATCAAAATTAATAATATTGAAACAAATGAAAAAATTTATCTTAATGTTATAAAAGCATTATCTGAAATCGGAGATTATTCATTATCAGAATCAATTATTCAACAAATTCCAAAGGATTTTTTATTCAATGATCAAATTGAAAATTCTTTAATTGCTATGTGGGTAAAGTTCTCATGAGAATCATTTGTTTTTTTCAATTAATAAAATTTTTTTTTATTAATTTAGGGTAAAAATGGATGTGTTAATAAAGCAAAAGAAATTTTTGACAAATCTTCTCAACCAGATCGAATTGAATACAAAGCAATGAGTGTGTTTATTGTTTATTTTTTATTTTTCGAAAAAATTTCCATAATTTGCTTTTATTAAATAGTTAATAGTTATGGTTTAAATGGAATGGGTATTCAAGCAGTTGAACTTTATTATAAAATGCCAAAAGAACTTCAAGATGAAAGAACACATATTTGTGTTTTAAATGCATGTTCACATTCAGGACTTATTGATGAGGCTCGTTTAATATTCAAAAATACTCAAAGAAAAACAAGAAGAATTTATACCACGATGGTGAAGAAAAAACAAATTTTTTTGTACAATTCTTTCATATATTTGATTTGTTTTATTAGGTTGATTGTTTAAGTCGTGCATCACTTTTTATTGAAGCAGAAAAATTCATTGAAGAATTCGAACGTGATTATTCTCCATATCTACCTATGTATAGTTAGTATCTTTCAAAAGTCTTAGTATTCATTCTTAGATAGAATATAGATTACTCAGAGATCAACATTCAGTCAATAGAATATGATATTGTCAAATTATCGATCCAACGTTCGAATACTAATAGACGAATTTTTTTTCAGTAGATTTTCAAAGAGTTTTTCAATACATAGCAAAAAATGAATTCCATTTAAATTGTTTTCATTTTAGTGTCATTATTATCAGGTGCCAGAAATGTTAATAATATGCATTTATCAGAAAAAATTCATCATCAAATGGAAAAAAAATTTCCTTGCATGAAAATTCCATTAACATCAGCATCAGTTCTTCTTTCTAATGTTTATGGATCATTAGGAGAAATCGATAAAGCATTAAATATTCAAATGAAAATACAGAAATCAGGTGTTAACAAGAAAGTTGGTCTTTCAAGGACTGTTGTCAATGGACAAGGCTATGTAAGTTTTAGAATTGCACTAATACTCTTATTTACAAATAATATCAAATTAATTTATTAAGAAATTCCGAGCTCATGATAAATCTCACCCACGATCAAAAGAAATCTATGATGAACTTAAGAAACTTTCTGCAGAACTTATTGAACATGGTCATAAATATGATTCAAGTTGTATATCAAGACCATTGAATGAAGGTGAAACTGTTGAATCTGTATTGAATGGACATAGTGAAAGACTGGCAATAGCATGGAATTTTGTTGTAAATCCCAATGCATCACGAATACAATTAACAAAAAATCTTCGTGTTTGTAAAGATTGTCGTAAGTGCATCATCATTTGTATTATACACTTTTTCATTTATTTCTTTATTTATTGTTTTTGCATAGATCGAGCAACAAAATTAATTGCTTTAATTCGTCAATGTGAAATTATTGTTCGTGATGCAAATAGAATTCATCACTTCTATAAAAATGGACAATGTTCATGTAAAGATTATTTTTGAAATATAATTTCAACTTGTTTTTTTTTTTGTTTTCAATAAAAAAAGAAAATTAATGAATTGTTATTAAAACTCCTATGATACAACGTTGATATTTTTTACGAACCCTAAGATATCATTTAATTATTTATTTGATTACTAGTTTCTGTCTATTATTTTTGTCTTTTTAGATATTCATTCTCTCTGTTTGTTAGTTCATCAATATCCTCTGTATTTATGTTCACTGCTCTCTCTTCTATGTAAAAAGTTTTTCGCAAATGAAAGGTGACATGTTTAATGGAGAAGTGAAGTCAAAGCAAAGGACAACCTTCTTACATCAGCACTTCTTGTATCGGACTTGGTGTAAAGAAGTCTTTCTTTACACGAAAAGACAATAACAACAACAACATAGAATCTTGATGAAATGATATTATGAAAAAATCATCTTGTAGATTATAAGAAGTAATATAGAAAAAGTTGTGATATCGATAAATTTATAGACTTACTTAATCCAAGATAAACTAAAATTCAAAGCTTTTATTTTTATTGTATAACAACATATTTTTCAAATTTTCTTCCTTTTCTTTTGAAAATATACTCCTTGAAATCCTTCCTTTAGGTACCTCTTCATAGTAACCTCTGATCTTAAATTAAATCATCATTTTTAGAAATTATCTATACTCTATTTTAATTAAAAAGCAGTGAATGAAAATAGATTAGAAAATATTGAGAACTATATTTAATTTTATCACACGATTTTTATTTATTTTAAGCAATGTTAGTAGTGATTTATCTCGAATGAATTTTAATAAAAGAGTCAGAATTGTGAGAAAATATTTTATTCTCATATAATTGTTTTACATTATAAATGTTTTCTTTTTTTAAGTTTCTATCTGGCTGTTATCTCTTTAGCTTTTAAATAGAAATATAATATCGTTAGAGTACAAATCATAGATAAACATCAAAATTTCGATTATTATGACAATATTGTATCATAAATAAGAATTACTTCGATGTTTTAGACAAACTCTCCTGTCATTAGTATTATTCTTTATGTATCTATTTCACCATAATCGAGTTAAAAAAGTTTTGCATTTTGATCTTTTATAGACTGCATTAACAAATTTTATAGATATTTAAAAACTTATTATTTCGATTTTCCTTTATAAAATAATTTTTTATTAGTAAATTCTTTGTTTATTGCTACAGCTTCATAAAATAAGAAAAAAAATAGTTGTTTTATATAAAACTTGAAAATACTAATTCTATTAATTATATATATTCACCATCTTCAGAGTGTGGGTGTGGGTAGATGTGGATAGATGTTCATTCGTTATCTACACTATCATCCATACCCTACACCCTCAAGATAGATGTGCGCAAATCTTTGTTTCTCGAATCAGAGTAATCGTTTCACTCTTATATGACTAGCTATCCACAAAAACAAATCAAGAGTGATTCAGTTACAAATTAGTTTATGACCACATTGCTTCCAATCCATTGTTTGACATTCCTTCGAACAATAGTGAGCTGCTCCGCATTTTCCACAAACACGCGATGCATTGGATTCGCTGCAGCATCGACACATATCTTTCACGTTGTGAGCATCTCCATGTAGAATAATCGACGAAGCATCGTCCACACGAATAGCCGGTTTGTTATCCATCGCCATACGCATGTATGGATTCAAAATACTTATTCTGGTACCGTGAATGTATGTGTGTTTTACTAACTGCCAACCTTCAGCTGCCGGAATATTGTATATAAAGAGTCGCTCCAGATCACCATTGTCATCTTCGAACAATAGCCATAGTGATGGCTCAACTACTGGCGATTGCTCAAAGATCAGGCCCGACAGTATGCATCCTTCGTAGACGTGATCCTTCATTGGGTTCATTTCACGTAGTGTAATTCCTTTCAATCCGATTAATGATGCAGGTGAGTTTTGGTACACACGCGGTTTATTGGTTGAGGGTATAAGCTTCTGTCCGGATGGAAGTTCGCGTTTCACAGCAATCGATGTTCGATGCGCTTGGATCATATCCAGACGGCGTGGATCAGAAAGACGTGATTTGGGCTTTCCCACGCTTATGGTTGGTTCCACCGCCACTGCATCAAGCTCAGATGGTTTGAGTGAAAATAACTTGGATATTAGCGACTTGCTGTTCGATTCATATGGTAGGAAGCATGGTAGCTGCTGCCTTTCGGCTTCAATGCCCTTTTCGTAATATTCTTCCGCAAGCTTCATGTGATTCTGTAATTGACTATTCGCCAAATAACAATTTCCAGTTGCATAGTATGCTTCGGGTACTTTCCGATGATCCACTGGTGCACTTTTCAGAAACTGATTATAAGCTAATACTGCTTCATTTAGAGCGGGAGGGTTGACCAGTCTGAGCATTACAGCCCTATCATACAGAAACTTGTAGCAATCAGGAGCCAGATGAAGTGCAGTATTAAAGTCCGCTAAACCTTCTTCGTATTTCTCAAGAAAGCCATAGAGCGAACCACGAAGTTCTAAGAAGAAATGTGACTTCGGATACATTCGAATACAAACGCTCAAAAACTCGATTGTCGGCTGTAACGAATTCATGTGTAACCATCCGAAACACACACGAGCGTCTTCATCTAATTGTGACTGTTTCGACTTGCCTTGAGTAAGAACATGATCAACAATCAACTTCGCTTCGTTACGTAGTTCCTCTGGAAACTGAATAACAATGTGTTCTTTTCTAATACTTGCTGAAAGTTCTTGAATAAACTGAGCGTCTTTGACATCATCGCTAAGGGAGTCATCCAATAAAATGTGTAGTGCTGTAAAAAAATGAGTTTGTGCATCCAGCAATCGCTGCGCAAACCCATATCCTTTCTGTGAGTATTCTTCCAGCATCGTACGATCATATACTCTTGATTGACCTCCGCATGGTAGTGATGTCTGATTCACTAAATGAGCGGTTTCGGTGAGAAATTTCATGAAACTGAATGCTTTGGCGGATGATGGAGCTTCCGCGCATAATTTACGCTGAATACGTTCATTATAGTTCAAACTACTGATACTTAAACCGTTCTGTTTTTCCCATTGTTCAATATCCAACTCGTTGAACTCTTTCCGTTCCTGCTCGGCTGCTTCTTGAATTTTTTTCACACAAGTTTTATCCAGCATGTTGTTGTTTTCACTGGCATACTGACACCATTGTTCTGCTGCTTGAAAGTCTTGTTTTCGAAAGAGTAGTACAGCTAGATTCATCGGCGCGTTTGAATCGCCGCGTGTAGCCGAGAGGCGCAGCAGTTGTTCCGATTTGACCAAATCACTGGTGACGCCTTTGCCATTACCGTACATAAGTCCCAGATTATTGGCGGCGTTTGCACTACCATGTTCTATTGCCCGTTGATACCACCGAGCCGCTTCGGAGTAATTCATTTCGACGCCAACCCCCGTTTCATAATGCAGCCCCAACGAATGTTCAGCTTCGGCCACACCGACGTTCGGAATGGGACATTTGTCTGACATTATCGGATTCTGAGCGGCTGCTTGTTCCAGCAGCTGAATAGAAACTTTCATATCTTTTTTCACTCCACGACCTTGTTGGTGTAGCAAGGCGAGATTATACATGCCTTCAGGATTACCGAGAGAGACGGCTTTCGAATAAAATCTAGCTGCTAGTTCGTAATTTTGTTCGACTTTCTCATCACCATCTCGATATTGATGACCGGTAAAGACAGCCGCTTTCCCTGGATCGCTTTTTTTAATAAAATCAATCATTTCTTCTTGTTGCTGGATTGAAAATCCCTTTTTTTTGTACACCTCATCGAATTGCTCACGAGTCGTTCGCGGTATATTTTGCGGAACCAAATGATCTTGCCGATCATAGTAAAATTTCCTTTCAAGAGCAGAATCACGAGCATTTTGCATTTCAGCGTTGGTCGGATCGAGCGCCAGTGCTTTGTTGAACGAGTGTACAGCCTTCTCATATTCACCGAACGCCGAGTGAGCTTGTCCAACGCGAAAATGCGCTTTCGGCCAAGTTTGTCGCAGGTCACGTGCGTGCTCAGCGTCTTGCAGAGCCAGATAACGGGAGTCCTTCGACGAAGTCATTGCTGAGGTTTCGCGTTTCTCAAGATATGCAGCAGCTCGATTTGAATACAAAATAGATCTGTCAACATCGCTCAAGCCTGGAAGGACGAGCGCTTGCGAAAATAATTTAATTGCTTCATCGAATTTCTTCTGTTTGAATGTTTCATTACCCAGTTCTTTCAATCGTTTCGCTTCGATCGTATCTACCGTACTAACAGACTCCTTCTGTTGACTTTCATTTGTCTTGAGTTTTAATTCAACGATCTCATCTTCATCGTCGCCAAATGATATCAGTATTGATGATAACTTCGACCATATATTTTCGAACTCAGTATTTGAAATACATTTTGATGGATGATGAGCATTGTTGTTTCTCATATTCGTTATGGCTAATAAATCATTGTTCTCTTTTGCAATTCTTTGTTTGTTGGCTTTACTAACTGGTCTTTGCGGTTTTGTATCGCGAAGAACAAAAAGTAATGTGCTCAAATCCCATTGATTTGTATCGCCTGTTTGTAACATAATCTTTTGAATATTGCGGCAATTTTGAAAGATCTTCTGCCCGATGCCTGTTGTGTAAGTATGCCCGTCGGTCGGAGTATCCAACCATTGGCATCCTGTGAATAGAAGCCATCGATCTTTGAATATTTTTCGACATAGAACACATGAGCGCGTCAGCAGCTGCTCGACTTTAAACCAGTTTTGAATCTGCGTATCCATTAGGAGGAGGAAGTACCTACAAGAGTGAAACGAACACAAAAATAAATGAGACATGCAGGCATAGGAAAAAGTTCATCAAGCTTGTGTGTCATAGGAATGTGCGTATCTGACTGGTAACAATTCGCCTTGGCATACTTGCCTATTTGTTACAAATCATGTCTGCTTTCTTGTTTAATATTTGAGAAGCAAATTATCTATTTCTCTACATTACGTATAAGATATCAAAGTAACCTGGAACGATATTCAGGAGAAAAAGATGTTTCTTTGACATCCATATATTCATATACTTATGTCTATGCTTCAGAAAAGCTTACAACTGAGAATTTTCTTTAAATGTAGCTCAAAATGTTGTTGTAAGATAAAATGAAGTTTTTATATTTCTCGAGTATTAGGTTTTCTAAGTTTGAATCTATTCTGCAAAGTAAAAATCTCATATCATAGTGGAGATTTCTGGTGCTTATAACTGAGTCGCTCTCCATAAGCTATAATTCTTTATAACTTTTATAAAAAGAAACGTTTTCGAAAAATTTTAGAAACTTTTCTCAGTTTTCAATAGAAATTGTCTCGCTAAATATGATATAAATAGTTTTTGAGAAATGTTAGAAATTTTATTTAAAGGGAAAAGTTTCTAAAAACTAGAGGCTTCAAAGATCTTTTTCGCATCGACACTATCAAAGAGGGGTTTTAATGTGAGAGAGGTTCCTATTCTAGAATTGGATATTCATTGGGCAAGTCAATTTTCTTCAGAAGATTAACTACATAAACAGTAATGACATAATAGATATAGTGAATTCATCTTTAGTGTTTTAGTCTTAACCAGTGGCTTAAATCAGAAAATCATGGGTGCGCGAGCAGCGCCCTGTGGTCTTGGGAAAATGTATTAAACATACTATGAATAATGGTAATTACTAGGTTTTTCTTCTGTCGGTTCCCAGGCGTGTCTACCCCCGGTTATTCGACTAGTCCTAACTCGAAAACAATTTAAGTATTGCTATCATTTTTTGTACGGCAAGCAAACATCCCATCTAATTACTCGGTGTTCTGATATTGTGAATCATGAATCGAATATACTTCGAAACCGATCGCTCGAAAAGTATTACGGTTTAATGATCTTTAGCATACAGTTAAAGATCAATGAAACTTGATTCATAATCAAGTTACAAATAAGCAATGTTTTTCCTCTTGGGATACATCTCGGTGGTTCATGATCGGTGAAACAGAGCTAAACAGTCTTATTTTTCGTGAATCTCAAAATAACTGGATGAAACTTCACGGAAGATACAACTCAATTCAATTTTACAATTCTAAACCGAATCTACAGTATCTGAAAACAAACTTATCTTCAAATATGTACAGAAAATCTAGTTCGAAATATATTTTTTGTTTTCGAATTTCAGGAGGAAAGAATAGTGACTCGTTTAATCGTAACCAATAGTAACACATCAGTCAGCAGAGCAATGAGGAAATGACAGACATAGATGGGAGTTGCATATGATTGTAGCATAACTCGTGTTTACAAATGAATCATGTCCAGACAGAGCGCCTCTATGTGCAATAGATTCTGCTGGAAACTTGGTTGAGAACACTAGAAGTGAACGTTTCTAGCAAAATAACGATCGACACTGTCTTTTTCAAAAATCACGAGTGAGCACTTTTTAAGTAACTGTTCACCAAATTCACATAAGTGATCTGTCGTTTTTACCGTGCAAGACAGGTATGGATGGATGTTGAATTATCTGCGAAGAGAGTTCGCAAACAAACTGTTACTTTTACACAGTTACTTTATCAATTGATCGATTTTCTCGAGTTCATTAGAATCACTATATGATACTACTTTTTTTAAGATTGCGTCGCAGTTGAGGGTAAATGTGGTAATGAGTAAAATACCCACACCCACACTCACACTTTGAAAAAGATAAATGTATTGATTATAAATAAGAAGATCACAAACAATACAACAAACAAGAAATTTTAAAACATTCTTATAAATCTACTGAAATCTTTCAATATTGATTTTAAATTAATATAAAATTTGTCATCGATTGCGAGATAAAATAACACATTAGTCATTTGATGAATAAGTTCTTTATCTTAAGAAAATGAATTTTTTTCCAATAAGCAAATAGATTGTTTATAATTCGTATATATATATATTTAAGAATCAATTATCATCAATCAGTTCAAATTATAATTGATTTAATATAAAAATTGATTTTATTTATTTTTTCTATAAAGCAAAGCAAAAAAGGAAACATCAATATGAAATAGAAAAAGAAGAAGAAGAAGAAGAAGAAGAAAAAAACTGTAATAATTATGACAAAGTAGATCGAAGCATTTTTTCTGCAAATAATCGATATTTATCAAATTTTTTTTTCTTTGTTGTCATTATTGAATTATTCGATAGATTTGACATTGTTCCATTATCATTTATAGTTGATGATAAAGATTGAATTGTTGTTGTTGGATAAGAAAGCATTTTTTCTAATGATACCAATGGACTTTCATGAGATTTTAAAGATAAATTAGTTGAAATTTGTTCATGATGATAAACAGTTGACGTTGAAGATATATTGCTATTTTCATCATCATAATTATTATTTAAATCTGATTGTCGAATTGTTGATGGAGTTTGTTTAATAACAAAATTTTGTAAAAGTGAGAGTGCATTCCCAGTTGTTGTCGTTTGTTTTGATTCTTCCTCAATTTTAACAATACGATCAAGTAAATCGGCTATAACTAATTCAACTTCTTTATCAACTACTAAACGAGATTTTGGTTGTTCAGATCTAAAATGAATTCTAAGAATTATTTTCTTTTGAAAAAAAAAATAAATTCATTACTTTAATATTAAAGATCGTTTTTGTAATGTTTTACATTGATTAAGAAAATAATCACGATTTCGATTAGCTTTTCCATTTCTATGATGCATTTCTTTTAAAATATGTTCTTTATAAAGACTTTCATTTTCAAAATACATTCCACATGTTGTACAATTATAACGTATTTGATGATAATGTTGAATATGATCAACAAGATCGACTTCACGTACAAATTGTTGAGAACAAATTAGACATGTTGAACGTATTAAAGAAGGAGACGGTAATAATTTTGTAGGAGATATTTGTTGTTGTTGTTGTTTTGAGGTGGAATGATGATGTGATGGTGTTATCACTGTCGTTGGTGTTGATGTTGTAGTTGATGAAGGTAAAAGTTGAGTAAAATGATTTGTTTTCATCATATGTGCTGTTAAATCCGGTAAAGTTTCAAATGATAATGAACAACGAAGACATTTTAAAATTTGATTTGCTGGATTTGTATCGCGTGACAACCAAATATCTTGACCACGGACAAGTTTAGCCACTTCATCATGTGTAGATGATAATTGTGCAGTATGATTTGTTATTTTTAAATGACTAACAAGATGAGCTACATTGGAATATTTTTCACCACATGAACAAGCATACGATTCTTGTTTACTTATTGAATTATCTTTCATTAAACGAGAAGAATTTATTGTTACTTGTTTAGTTGATTTAGATGTTGATAGTTCAATTTTTAAACGTTGTTGTTGTTGATGATGTTGCTGTTGTTGCTGCTGCTGTTGTTGTTGATAATAGGAATTTAAATTTGTTAAAAATAAATCATAGAGTAATGCTGATGAATTAAATAGAAGATTTGATGGATCATAAAAAGGTGTTGTTGTTGATGCATTCATTGGGTTAAATACAGGATGTGGTTGTTGTTGTTGTTCTTGTTGAGATTTAACAGATAAATCAAGTGGAATTTCGTATTCATGATTATTTCGAGATTTTTTCTTTGTTGATGATTTA